TTTTTTTTATCACAAAAAAATTAAAATACAAGTGATCAATTACCACCAAAAGAGAGCTTGATTTGTGTGAAAAAAGGACAGAAATTTCTTTGGGTACAGCATTGCATGAGCGCACAATTACCAGTTTAATTAGCACAGTGCCGAATAGCAAACAATGGCCTGGTCAGGAAGGGGGTAAATCTCCCGGAGGGCAAGTGGTTCACCTTCCAGCCTTGCTAAAAGAAGCCCCTTGTTTAGAAGAGTCAGTAGTTGAAAATGAATGAATGAGTCATCAGAGTGAGCCATTTACATTATGCTTAGCTGTGTGGCTTCCTCTGAAAAGCAATCTGCATTCACGTTGCTTTACAGAGGCATTTAACAGGTGGCAAGGATGTAATATGACGTCTCCCTGCTGCCTTTTTTTCAACCCCATAAATGCCGCAACAATGCGCTGCAGGCTGTTTACGGTGTGTCCCTATTCGCTTGAATTCGTCCCGAGCTGTAATTTTTGTCAAGGTCACGAAGCAAAGAATCTTGACCTCAGTATGTGAGTTGCAAAGATAGCTTAAAGGGAGGCATTTGGGGGAGCTAAAACACTGCTCACCTGTGTCTAAACAAGCCTTCTTTCTACCACAAAGCCAGCTGCTTCTGTTTTCTGTTTTTTGGGGTTTTCTTTTGCCTTTTTAGATAAAGGTTTATATAAATGAATAAAAGCCTACCAATGTAAGCACCCCTGTTAGAGGTAAATGGTTTGTGTCAGCCCTGTAACTGAAATTTCTATGGGATAGCTTGGTTTGTTTGTTAAAGCTGAAAAATAACAGACTTACTTGCAGGATCACTAGGTAAAAATAAAGAAAACTCTTAATAAATTTTTGTTTTTTGGGTTTAAGGCCACATTAAAAAGGAAATTGGTTATGCTGCACACACAATGCTGCGTTCACTTTACAGTATCTCTAAGTTCAAGGCTTTTATCTTGTAGATCTGGACACATGGTCTAATACCCTATTACACCCCGGCCCCACTAGGTTTGACTTGGATTGTGATTTGCATATCGTATGCCAAGTCGCACCCTATTGTCCGTGATTACAGTGTTCAAATCGGTGCGGTTCCGACTTGGTCAGAGACTCACCGATTTCTAAAGTAGTACATGCACTACTTTTTGTGCGATTTGTATAGACATCTGTGTCAGACATCTTGCAAATCGAACCTGAAATCGATATGTCCCCCAACTTTGAAATCGTGCGACTTCACTGTAATTCGCACGATTTCAATGTCTGGCTTGATGTGACCGGGATGTAAAAGAAACCTTCAGTTTATTGGATTTATAAACCTAGTAACGCTGGTTGTGGCTAGTTTGAAGCCAAAACTGACCACAATGAGACTGCCCAACAACCCCCCAACCCCCACTAAGGTAGTCTTCCTCAAAACCAAGACTATAAATTGACACAAATATGATAATTCCCTTTAACAGAAGGCATGTACAACATCCAGCTTGCTGTGTCCTCCATAGTCACCTCACTCCCCGTGGCTCCTCTACTCACTGTTTTAAAATGGTGGGCCGCATTCACTTATACAGGTGAAACTCGAAAAATTAGAATATCGTGCAAAAGTTCATTTATTTCAGCAATGCAACTTAAAAGGTGAAACTAATATATGAGATAGACTCATTACATGCAAAGCAAGATAGTTCAAGCCGTGATTTGTCATAATTGTGATGATTATGGCTTACAGCTCATGAAAACCACAAAGCCACAATCTCAGAAAATTAGAATATTACATGCAATCAATAAAACAAGGATTGTACATAGAACAATATTGGACCTCTGAAAAGTATAAGCATGCATATGTACTCAGTACTTGGTTTGGGCCCCTTTTGCAGCAATTACTGCCTCAATGCGGCATGGCATGGAAGCTATCAGCCTGTGGCACTGCTGAGGTGTTATGGAAGACCAGGATGCTTCAATAGCGGCCTTCAGCATTGTTCGGTCTCATGTCTCTCATCTTTCTCTTGGCAATGCCCCATAGATTCTCTATGGGGTTCAGGTCAGGCGAGTTTGCTGGCCAATCAAGCACAGTAATCCCACGGTCATTGAACCAGGTTTTGGTGCTTTTGGCAGTGTGGGCAGGTGCCAAGTCCTGCTGGAAAACGAAGTCAGCATCCCCATAAAGTTCGTCTGCGGAAGGAAGCATGAAATCCTCCAAAACCTCCTGGTAGACGGCTGCATTGACCCTGGACTTAATGAAGCACAGTGGACCAACACCAGCAGATGACATGGCTCCCCAAATCAACACAGACTGTGGAAACTTCATACTGGACTTCAAGCATCTTGCAGTGTGTGCCTCTCCATTCTTCTTCCATACTCTGGGTCCTTGCTTTTCAAATGAGATGCAAAAGTTGCTCTCATCAGCAAAGAGGACTTTGGACCACTGAGCAACAGACCACGTCTGTTTTTCTTTAGCCCAGGTAAGACGCTTCTGATGTTGTTTGTTGTTCAGGAGTGGCTTGACAAGAGGAATACATTTGAAGCCCATGTCCAGGATCTGTCTGTGTTTGGTGGCTCTGGATGCACTGACTCCAGCCTCAGTCCACTCCTTGTGAAAGTCCCCAACACTTTTGAATGGCCTTTTCCTGACAATCCTCTCCAGGCTGCGGTCATCCCTGCTGCTTGTGCACCTTTTTCTTCCACACTTTTCCCTTCCACATAACTTTCCGTTAATGTGCTTTGATGTAGCACTTTGGGAACATCCAACTTCTTTTGCAATTACCTTTTGAGGCTCTCCCTCCTTATGGAGGGTGTCAATGATGGTTTTCTGCACAACTGTCAGGTCAGCAGTCTTTCCCATGATTGTGATTCCTACTGAACCAGACTGAGAGACCATTTAAAGGCTCAGGAACCCTTTGCAGGTGTTATGGCTTAATTAGCTGATTAGAGTGGGACACTTTGAGCCGTGAATATTGCACCTTTTCACAATATTCTAATTTTCTGAGATTGTGGATTTGGGGTTTTCATGAGCTGTAAGCCATAATCATCACAATTATGACAAATCACGGCTTGAACTATCTTGCTTTGCATGTAATGAGTCTATCTCATATATTAGTTTCACCTTTTAAGTTGCATTATTGAAATAAACGAACTTTTGCATGATATTCTAATTTTTCGAGTTTCACCTGTAAATATTGTGACAATGTCTGCACTAGCACTGCTGCATAAAAGCTTCACTACAAGCCAAACCTTTTATGTTATGAGGTCCAAGACCTTTCTGAACCAGAGAGTAACTGAGCCCAACAGCACCTATCATGAAATATCATCTCTGGCCAATCAAGCTGCATCCAAAATACCAATAGATGTGAACGCACAGTAAAAGACTTACCTGTAGTCCTTCTGGATTTTTCAGCAGTTCTTTACGTAATGAAATGATCATACTGGTATTCAAAGTCCATTTATTGAAGATGTGTAGATATGTGTATGCCTGCTGCTGTTTTCCAAAGGGCTTATTTACTTCCACTTTCAGTTTAGAAAAACTGAGTGAATTCTGTTTTGTTTTGGACACAGGCAGTATTTTATGCTCTTCTGTATGACTCTGATTTCCAGTAATATGCATCGGTAGAATTCTTTGTATGAGTGTGCTTGTGCATGCCTTTTTCTACTTTCTATTTACTGAGAAACCGAAAGTGACTGTCAGTAGTACAGATGCACATGGAGCTTCTTAAAAATCTAGCTGCTTTGAAGGGCAGCTGGCGGAACAGCTTGAGTTCAGTTTTGTTTTCGCACTGTGCTGAGTTGCACCGATTAGATCAGGCACAATTGAAAACATAATTTTCATGCAACCCTGTGTGATTCAATTAGCACTAGTGTGAACCAGTGAAGTTTGCAGGTAAAATGTTTTATATATTACTTAAAAAAATAAAAAATAATAAAAACATATTTTTAAACATTGACTGTACGAAAAAAGGTTTTACATATTTCTTTAGTCCTGGATATTTAGCTATATACATTTAAAAGTAAAGAATGAATTAATTTCTCCAACTACTAAAATAAATAAGAACCTGCAATATTACATGTGAAATTGAAAAACCTAATTTGGGTGTAAGGGTGGCAAGTTCAACTGGTAGTGATAGCTATAACCATGCACAAACAAGGACACCCAGGAAGTGTCCAAGCAGATTCGTCCTGCATTTTTCTTTAGCAGGGCGCAAAGATAGTTTTTCAATTCAGGGGTGCTTTTTACAGCAATTTCATAGCATAAATCAAAGGAAACGTCTGCTTGTCCAAGCCCCTAGCTAAACTCTAACAAGGCCCTAATATGTTCAGTGGAACAAACTGGTTAGACAAGTCAGCCTTTTCACACAGCATTAGTCTCTCACAGCAGATAAGAGAATCCTGAGCACCAGTAAGTCCTCATGCACACGTGCATGGACGTTTTTACAGCTGCTGTTTTTGGCTTTTGACGGTTTTTTTCTACAGCCAGTAAACCCCACAGCATGTTATCCTATGTGTTCATGCACACTTAGACTGTAATGAACATTTTTTGGCTGGAAAAAAAAACCCCAGGACTAGTACGTTTCTTCAAAAAAACGCAAACGCAGGAAAATGCAGCTAAACGCTAAAAGAAAAAGCTGAAAAACTCACTTTTTTTAACGTGACTTTACACAGCTAATGTTACCAGCGTCATCAAAACGTCCTGTGTGCATGAGGGCTCAACTTGTATAATACTTCTGGATAGCTGACACTAAAAACGAGAGAAAGAAAATATATATATATACTGTGTACAGATTTGTCCAGTTTCCAATTATAAAGGTAAACCTGCAGCACACCTCTTTGATACCATAGGCTTTTTAGATTGTTTCAGCACTTCATCTAGCTGTGGTTACTACCCCCTGTAAAAAAAAAAAAAATGACATATCACAGTACATGCTGTGAAAACTGAATACATCTATGCTGTACAGTATATAATGTAATAGTGATTTGCATTGTCTATTTAGCAGTGCTTGTGTAACGTCATGTATTCATTTTTTATAGGCACTAATTAAAGTATTAAATGACCAGAGATTCCTGATTCTGTTGACATCTTCAGCAATTCAGTGCAGCAAAGGTAAATGCTCATAGATATGGACTTTGTTATTCCTTTTTTTTAGTTTTAGGATTAAGGTAAACCATGCTTTCTCTTTTCAGATCTTGGTGTGAAAGATTCTTTACAGCTTTTTGCCTTATTTTTATTCCCCCAATCAAAATTGTTGGATAATACAGGTAAGTAGGTTATTTTAACTGTATATATTTCCTTTTTAGGTACCTATTTTATGTTTCTTAGTCACGTAAGTAAGTTGTTTTATAACAGATGTTGAATGATGAAAAGACAGCACAGACCAAATTTTATTTTTTTACTTCTCATATTTTGTTGCTCAAGGGAGTATACACTGTTTTTTGCCTTTCAGCAACAGCCCAAAAAATCTGTGCTATTTGTTTTTTTTATAATTAATTGATGAGTCATTGTGTAAAACCTTAAGGCTCCATGCATACTTTGTTTCTGCTTCTAGAAGCTAGATAGTGTTATCTTATGTGTCCATGCACACTATTTTAGGCTAGTAGCATTTTTCAAGCTTCAGTGCTTCGTAGCAGAAAAGTTTTTGTAGAGTTTTTGGGAGCGTTTTTCTGGCAGAAAAAAATTGCTAACCGCTCCTAACAGCTTTTTTTTTTTCTTTTTTTTTCCCCCCTACATGTACTATAAAAAGGTTAATAAAACTCTAATGCTCCTAAATGCTTCTAAACGCTACTAAAAAAAAACGCTATTACCAGCTTTTTTCCAGTGTTTTCTGAGCTTAAAAAAAGCTGTTGTGCATGGAGCCTTAAACGTATAATTAAACCAAACAAGCATGAATTATTGTGGCTCCAAATAATGTGTTAATATTTTAACCCTCTAAAGGGGTGTTTCCAGCTGCCCCTAAAAAGTGAATGTGACACTTGTAAGTGAATTAGTGATGGATAGGCGCTGCGCTCAAATAGGGTAAGTAGTATAAGGTGTAAGTATGCACCCTATACTCCCCATATAATAACTAAATGATGAGTTTTGTGGATGAATAGCAATAAATCAAACAATACATATACCAAACATAAATGAATTAAGAAATATAAAGTGACTGGATATTCCCAATTTTATAAAATGTTCTTATGCTTCCACCAAGTGCTGCATGAATTCAAATTGTGACAGTCCTTCTTTGACTTCAAAATTTGGTGACATAGAAATCCATGTATCCACACCTGTGCAAAAAGTAAACGAATGGATTACTCACCAGACCTATATGACCCCCCCATTACAATGGTCGTATATCGCATTGTGTGTTATAAATCTTGAGTTCCTCCCCGTATGATCACCAACACCCGCACTTCCAGGTTGGATAGCCAGAGGGACTGCTGTATAGTTTCCAATAAATTCCCCAAACGATAGTTGTAGGGATTCAAATAAATAATCCTGGCTTTCTATGCCATGATACTCAAAAAAAATCCACAACAGTAATAATGATCTAAGTGTAGTATTTAATATGCCAAGAGTAGGAATAATCAGGAAAGACCTAGAACAGCTGAACTTTATTTGGAGTTAATCAGAGGCACTTTAAGTAATGGCAGGCGTGTACCGCTTAATTCTGAACACAGCTACATACCCAGTTATAAGAGGGTGTGCACACTTATGCAACCATATTATTTTAGATTTATATGTTTACCCCCCCCCCCCCCATAAAAGATTTCAGTTTGTTTTTAAGTTGAGTTGCACAGTTGATAGGTCACATTAAAGGTGGAAAAAGTTCTGAAATTATTTATCTGTCTCATTTTTTTACATCACGGAAACCTGACATTTTAACCGGGGTGTGTAAAATTTTTATATACACTGTACTTGTACAGTACTATTACATCGCTTGATATTTTACCACCACTAGTCTGACAACCACCTTATGTCAGTATATAGTTTTGTTACTCCATGGTTCAGCATCTCTGTAACATTTTTACCTGCTCAAAACTGTGGGGTTTATTTACTAAAGCTGGTTCTCTCAAAATCTCATGCACTTCTGCATGGAAACCAATCAGCTTTCAGGTTTTATCACCAAAGCACATTTTGTTATGTGAGGAATTTTGTCAAGGGGTTCCTTTTAAACACACTATTTGGGAGCCTAAGGTTAGACTGCATTTGCCTGTCCCACGGTTTCCTCTGCTTTAATGCAGCCTCTACGAATAGGACCCTACCCTCGCATTTTCTTATTGTTAGGAAAAAACATACATTGATGTGGCCCTGAACATAATATAGTGAAGATCTGCTATGTTGCAAGGAACATTTCTACATTTTAATTGCGTCTAAGCAGTCCCCTGAAAATGTGCTTTCTTAATTGTACATTACAGGACACATGATGGTATTCAGAGTTGAATTGTTATGCTGCTTCTTTCAGGAAATTTGAGAATGGGCAACCAAAGCTGAAAAAGAGCCCAGTATAACAACTCATGCCTTTGTTCTTTGCTAGTGTATTTGTGAGATTGATGTCTTCCCTCTGCTCTGAGAGAAGCAAACAATTTTTCATTTTTTCAAGGTTTTCTTCTTGGAAGATTTCCTCAGTTGCTGCAGTGGACCTAGGGCTCACTTTTCAGCTTTCTGGATTGGCTGATTTTCAGCTTAGCCTTGAAGACCAAACCTGGGCTTCTCTGTGAGGTGTGGAGCCTATCTGTAAAGTGCCATTGTGCATTGAACACTGCTTTTAGACAGATGCAGTTCAGGTGGGGGGGCTGTGATTCACACTTTGGTGGAATCCTGCCCCTGAGGTACTTTTGCCTGCCTGGAGGGTGAACACTGTGTGAATTCCTTAAAGTCTGCTCATGTTGCCTTCTGCGTGGTGGGGACCACACCAACAGTGGTGGGTCAGGACCATTTGGCCTTTATTTGGGAGCCAAGGTGCATACCTATCCTTCTGCTCTAAGGGCTTCCAATTCATCTTGCTACCACTGTTGCAGCACGCCACTAACCCTTTCAGGGGTAGCTCCCTCCTCTGTATTATCCAGGGAGCAATTTAATGCCAGTATGTCTGAGTTTATTGGAAAATTTCAGCCATGATAGCTGACGGAACATAAGGGCACAAGAGCGTGTTTTTACTCCCTCGCCACCAGTTTGGGAAGAAATCCTGGACTCTCGCTGTGCAAGGGGAAGCTTTTCCCCAAGCTCCAAATGTTGGATCATATTCTAGCGTGGGTGGAACTTAACATACCAGCCCTATCTGCCTTGCGCATTCCAGGAATGGAAAATGAGCAGGAAAACTTCTTCAGTATCTGGGCTCCAAAGAATGGTCTCCGCACCAATAGGTTTTCAAGATCTTTGCTGCAGATTTGGGACACCAGACATGGATCGCTTAGCTTCCAGGCTAAAGGTTTGTTTCCAGGCCCACGGATCCCCTGGCCCTCAAGGTGGATGCGTTATCCACGGTCAGATCTCGGCCTTGGCAATTCTCTTTCAGAGACCACTTGCTTGTCATGCCTTAGTGAAAGTCTGCATACTGCTCACAGTGTTCCCCTGTGACATTGTGGGATGTCAGCCTGGTTCTGCTCACTGTCCAGCCATTTAAGCCTAATGGGGATATTACCTTGCCTACTCTCACTCACAAGGTTGCCTTTCTTGTTGCCATCATCTTGGCACAACAGGTTTCTGAGTAAGAGGCCTTAAAAAAAAAATAAAAAAAACCTTTCTTACTACATAGAGACAAGGTTGTTTTTAAACCAAAAATCTTTTTATCCCCAAGGTGGCTTCTCCCTTCCACATTGTTCTGCCTTTTCTGTGTCCTACTCCTGGCCATCCCAAGGAGGTGTACCTCCACTGCCTGGAGTCTCTGTCTGAGTGTACTTCTTGGCTACAGATTTTTTTAAACTGACTTTCTCTGTCATTACTGAGCTATAACTCTGAATTCCATCCTATATCACGTAGGAAAAAATCCAACTTTTTTGTCTTAAATTTTTTCTAGTCATTGAGGGTGCATAAGCACCCATGTGCCTATAGCTTTATATTTGCATTGTGAGATCCTCTAAGGTACTGCTTACTGTGAATGTTAGTCTAACAAGATTTGGAGGGAGAATTGATGTCATTACTGAACTGCTTGCTGGAGAGGAAAAATCAAAATGTGATCCAAAATAATATATACCCAGTTGCTGTATTACACTACCCCCTAAAGTGTAAAAAAAAAAAAGATTGTCAAGTTAACCCTAAATACAGTGGTTTACTTAAAGTGGTTCTAAAGGCTCAAGGTTTTTTACGTTCATGTATTCTATGCTTGAAGGTAAAACACCTGTGTGCGGCGGCCCCCCTGTCTGGGGACTCTTCTTCCTCATTGGCTGAGACAGCAGTGGGAGCCCATTGGTGCCAGATGCTGTCAATCACAGACAGTTAAACTTTGAGGTTAGAGTGGGGGGGGCGGGGCCAAGCCTTGGCTCTATGTGACATATCGACGCATAAAGCAGCAGCTTGGGGACGAGCACGTAATGGTGCCCCCAGGGTGAGCAGCTTTCCCTGGGGGCTTTGCTTGAGGGAGAGTAGCCAGGAGCACCGACGGAGACCTGAAAAGAGGATTGGGACTGCTCTGTGCAAAAGCACTGCACAGAGCAGGCAAGTATAACATGTTTGTTATTTTAAAAAATAAAACTGACGCTAAAGCTTATGGGGGTTTTTTTTTTTTCGGTTTGCTTTTTTTTTTTTTTTCTTCTTTACATACAGTATTTTTACATGGTTTAATCTCATATATTTCTTCTATAGGAAGAGAAGATTTGAGTTACAAGTTTGTAAAGGAAGCTATCTCGTTTAAAATAACTGAATTACTTCCTGGCCTTCAATATGCAATTCTAGAATCAAGACAGATGCAAAAAGGTGAAGACCTTTTTCCTGATACTTTGGTGGAACAGCATTTCAAACATTTTGCCAGTCTTCGAAGGAAAAATGTCAGTGTCGGGGAGCTAAAAGAGACCAGTAACACTTCAAGCCTTTTTTCTGGTCATGGAAAAGACATTGCTGATAAATGTAACCAGTTGTTTTTTGCTCGCCTGCAGTCTTACTTTTCATCACCAGTAAATTTCAGTGTTCCCGTGATAAAAATGTCAAGTCTTTTAAAGGAAGATATCCCATTGCCTAGTGACTCTGAAAAAGGTGGCAAAAACATAATCGGAAAGGACTCTGTTGCCTTAGAATCTAAAATACCGTTTTTCGCAGCAAATAACATTAAAAGTGATAGTTCAAATGGAAACAATGTATTGAATGAAAACAAAAAAGCAGCCTACCAAGAAGAGGACCTTCAAGAAAGGTGGAAGACAGGAAGCAGGAAAGGAAAAAGGAAACCTACACACCAAACTGCTTTGTCTTCTGGTGCTACGAGTGAGAACCAGGTCTCAAACAAAAAGAGAAAGCTAATTGGTGGAGAGCAGGAACAAGCTGTCTCTTCAAACAGAACCACAGTAAAACTTGCAAGTGCTCCTTGTACACACAATAGAAAGAGAGGTTTGTAAATTTTATGGTTTTTGGTACCAGTCTTTTTCTGTGTTTCTATAGTGCAGTTTGCCCTGCAGATTTGATATGAGAACTGTTAAACTGAGAAGGGAAAGGGAAGGGAAAGACATTAGTAAAACATACGTTCCTTCCAAATCAAAGGTTTGTCAGCTGGCGAGAACTGTACATGTAGCATTTCTCACAAGAAAAAAAGAACAATCTTTGTACCTTCAAGTCTGGTTAGAATTTACCATGTTAGCTTCTGAGTCTGACCTCATATTGTCTCAGAAGGGCCCTATCTTGGAAGCAGAACTAAACCCTTCTATCCTTTTACAGCTGAAGCTGGTACCATCCTAGCCCCTATTTAGATCTATAATTGCCATGGTGTGTCATGTGATCGGCTATGGCAACATCCATTTGGAAATTTGGTTGAGAGGTAACGGGCACACTGGTAACTGTGATAGTTATCACCAGATGCATACCTTGAATGTAACTTGGTAAACTGTATTATCCTGCTTTATTTCTGTTTTAAGCCATCCTCACCCAAGATGTCTTTCTCTTGTGCACAAGGTCATTCACAAGTTCAGCCATAGCTGGTTAAATTATTCTACTCTATATCACCTGGGCTGGATAATTTTATATTTCTATACTATATCTCCTGCTTAGCTATAACACTTACAAAGCTTCTGCTTTTCTGTTCTATCACCTGGTAATGGAGAGCGCAACCACTAATTTAGTGGCAATTGACACTAGTTATAATTTTAATAATAGGTTTGCTTTAATTACCTTACTGACCACTACACCATTTTATGTCTCCTTTTTTTGTAGAGTAAGGGAGGGTTATAACCCCTATCAGATTTTTTTTTTTTTTCACCATCTGTGTCCCATTGCAAAGATTTTCCTTCACTTCCTGTCCCATAGCCAAACAGGAAGTGAGAGGAAATCCCTCCAAATCAAGGGAATTCCTTGGAGACCCCTAGGTCACCAGAAAGAGTATCCCCATTGGACGATTTCCCCTCTATTACTTTTCTGGGGACAACCTAAAATTTTGGATTTTCTATTACTTTCACTTTCAATGATAATAGTAAACAGGACAAATAGAGAGGGTGAATCTCCCTAATTGGGACTACAATAAAACCTGACAGGTGTTCTAATCCATCTACATCTATCCAAAACTAAAACAAAATGTTGCCTTTTAGTTATACTTTAAACTTTTTAATAATGGCCATATACAAATTCTACTAAAAGACTAATTTTTTTTAAAGGCTCAGCAATAGTATTTTTATTTTGTCAGTACTGCACACACTAATGTACAGATTTTTATCATATTACTGCTAATTAACCTGTAAGTGCTCTTAAAATCAGCTGAACATAATTAGCTCTTTATCCCAAGTCTTCCCAACTTTCCAAAAATTATTCTTGTTTAAATCTCATACAAATTGTTCAGTAACTCCTGCCCCCACCTCCATCACTAGTTATTGGGAAGATTTGGATTTTCTTCAAATGTTCAAAGAACACTTGATGAACACAAATATTATTGTAGGCACAAAGCTTAACTCTAATAACAAATAAAATGGGGATACCTATTCAAAATTATTTACTAAGTTGTGAGAAAATTCAGTGCATAACATTAGTTATATGCAATGGTGTGTATCCCATTACCTGCAGATGGCTGCTTCTGGTAAAAATCTTCTGTTCATAGCCTTTGAATAGTGCCCTGAGTGGTTGTCTTTCAGCATTATGAAAGTTAACAGCAGCCGCTGCTACAGAGGAATATTGCGCACCCCCTGCCCACCCCTTTCTGTTCTTTCAGCCATTTATATTGCTTGTATTACTGAACTCCCACAATGCATTGGGGGTTATTTAGTAAAACTGGAGTGTGCGAAATCTGGAGCAGCTCTGCATAGACACCATTCAGCATCCAGGTTTTATTGTCAAAGCTAAAGTTAGAAGCTGATTGGCTACCATGCACAGCTGCACCAGATTCTGAGTGCAACAGTTTTAGTAAATCTTCCCCATTTCATTCTGTGAATAGAAGAGAGGCAGTTAAATGACAAGATCTCTGATGGAGAGGGCAGAAGGGGGTGGGTGAGTAGCACAACTTTTCTCAGTAGCAGGGACTGCTGTTAAACTTTACAGCACTCAAAGATAGCCTCCTATGGCAGTGTTTTGGTGCCTGTGAAGGTAGGCACTGCAAGGAAGATTTTTATCCAAAGCTGGTGTCTGTGGGTAATGGGCTACACACCATATACATAACTAATGTGTTTGGTACTGTAACTGACACCCCCCCCCCCCCACAAAAAACCCCCCCCTAAATATCAGCTTTAAATATTAGTGAATCTTTCATATTTCCAGAAATAGACTGTGAGTGGCCGACCTAACTGGGACTGTTGCACAATGAAAGTCAGTAGACTATAAATGTAAACCTATTCTATGCTTTTGTGAAAGAATGGTTGTTGTATCGTCTGAGAATTTTTTTAAGACGTTATAATTCAGTGCACTCATTGCACTAATGGTACTACAGGATTTTTTTTTTTTTTAATAAAAAAGTGGTTATATTTACATGCCCTCTGCAACAATATTGCACAGAAAGTTTGACTTCCTCTTCTAATGGCTGTTCCTGCCTGCGCTGTCAGCTCCTCTCCCCTATGATGCCGCTTAAGCCCTCATGTTTAAGATTTTAATGTGCACAGATGCAATCTCATTGTATGATGCTAGGGTAGCAACACATTTTTTGCACTAATCATATCACTTTGAGAAGGCTATCTTTCTGCTGTTGGCCTTTTTGTTTTATTACTATTAATTATACATTTGCTTGTTAGGCGCTGAAGTGTTGACTGCTGAATTTGTGATTGATGAAAAAGTCAGTGAAACAGAAACTACAGCTACAAACAAAAGGAATAAAGAACAAAACACCGTTATTAAAAATAAAACGATCACTGGGAAATCAAGAAAAATGGCTTCAACAGACCCCCAGTTAATGCGTGACAGACCTCCAAAACGTAAGGCCTCTGATCCAGGTAAAAGATTAGATGTACCACTGATACAATTGTGTAAATTCATAGTGCACTGCAGTAAGTAAAAAAAAATTACATGAAAGGGCCGTTAAATCTAATTAAAAGAGGGGGGGGGGGGGGGAAAAACAAATTCTGAAAGTATGAACACTTGATCTACATCAAAACAGCACTACACTGAATCGGAGCACAACAAACCAAGAATGCTATCTAATTATTTTTTTATAATTAAAGAAAACTCACCCATCCATGTCTTCATGCTTTATTTTGCTGAGAAATCACAGTAAAAACAGTCCCTAGCATTTCTGGCTGTGACCACCTTTAGTAAGGGCAGATGATTCATGTATTCATGATTAATGTATCATTTACTCCCTGGAATGTCCTTAGTGCAGGCAGGATGGTGTGCTTAGCTTAGAAAACTCCTCCTTGAAGACTCCTGGGATGTGTGACATCATTTGCCTAGGCCTGGAAACCAGGAAGTAACTAAAGAAATGAAAAAAAAAAAACTACAAGAAAAATGATATAACTTCCTATCTATCTGCTATTGCTAGCGGCATAAGGATAAAAAATAGTAAATTTTGATTGAGAGAGCGAAGTTCCACTTTAAGTAAATGACCTTTATGGTCTCTAAAAGTACATTCCTAAACTTCGTAGTCATCAGTCATGTAACTTTTACCAGTGGCAGCGAGGAGCACTGTTTTTTCAGCTGTACTTTTTACATCTGTTTTTTTGTTGTTATGCATTTAAGTCTTTTTATACATTAGTACTAAAAGTACAATATATCTTTCCATTGTGCTCATTATTCTTTGTTCTTTACTGTTTGCTTTGCTTTTTTTCCCAATAACTTTGTAGGTAACAGGAAAAAATCACCTGAAGTTAAAGCCAAATCAGAAATTACTAGAAAACCAGTGATAAAACACACAAAGAACAGTCTGGGAAGCAATATAGAAGGGCAGTGGAATCCATTAACACTATTCCTTTTGAACCCGTTGGCTCATTCAGCAAGACCAGCATGGACCACAGTTTGACCACTAAACAATCAGCTCACCCAGCACCAGTTCCTGAGAATGATATAATGGAGAAGCGGATAAGCATGTATGAATCTCATGCTCTAAATCTTCTGGCTGACTTGGCTTTAAATTCACTTTCTTCCTCAAGTATTTCATATATAAATGCTGAGAGTGAGCCGGGCGCACAGGAGAATGTTCCCAGCAGTGATGGCGGAAATGCTGTAGAATACCCACAAAAAGACAGCAGCCCACTATTACAATCTAGCACTGCCTTTGAGGAGCCTGTTCATGCACCTGAATGTGTAAAAAGTCCATCTAAGGCTGGGAGTGATGCCAGTCAAGTGAACAATACAGCACAGCAGCGTACAGAGAACAGTGAAAAACAAACCTCCCACAAAATGCTTATTGCAGCTGCTAAGGCAAAAGCACGAAATAATGCAACAAGTAAGATTTGCTTGGAGCATTCTTATTCCCAGCTTCCAATAGATGATGCCCCAGATAAATCAACAAAGGACCTAAATGAAAAGCCGCCCCAGAGTGTTTCAGAGCCAACAGTGACAAGCCCTGACATTGAAGTGGTATTGGACCAGTCATCAGACTCGCTCTTTCCAAGGGATTTTCTGCTTTTGACCAGTGATAATGGGTGCCCTCCCTTGAATACAGAGCCCCGGGAGGTGTCAAAGTTCCAGGACAACTTTTTGATTACATTCAAATGGGAAGCAAAGTATGATTTTGACTTGGATAGCAAGTTTACCAGTGATCCTTTAGAAAAAACAATAAATCGAGCTCTACATGGGTAAGTAACATAAAAGCTAACTTCATGCATCTGTAATACCCACAAAAAAAGACCATACAAGCTATAGATTATTATGCAAAAGCAGGAACAAGTCATTTGGCAGGTGTTAGACACTTTTATGATAAACACCTGTATTATGTATAGTTGTTCTATAGCAAATGTGAAAAACATCTGAAGCATACTCGACAGCTATAGAAAAAATTAACCTGCATCCTGTGTTAAAAATGAAATGGTGATTCAAATAACAGTTGACATGCTGAAACATAACTGCTAAATATAATACACTTGCTGTGATGACCAAAGAAATGTGTGTGACATCTGTTGCTGAGCGTAACGTGCTAAGCTATTTGGTCACAACAGGGGAAACGTCCAATCAGGTAAATGTATTAAAGTATCTATGCTGTAAAACTAGACAATGCTATCTAAACATTCTGATTGAAAAAAAATGTAAACAATCAGAACTAACAGTTTCAGAAATAAAGACACCTAAAGATCAAACTTGAACCTATTCTCCTACCAAGCCTCCTTAGTGGTCACTGACAAGTATGGACTTGTGGAATGAAGTGTGGCCAACCTCCAAGACATATGAAAATATCATACTTTATAAAATGAATTGGTGGGGGGGGGGGGGCATCCATGCTTTATATCTCTGCAGAAAAAAATATGGTGTCATTTGCCACCACTTTAGATGTTGGCTCTTAAGTTTAGATCTGCTTTAGAAAAAGTATACGATGTTGTCTGATTGGTTGGCTACGCTTTCATCCTTTTTTGTTTTTTTTTGTTTTTTCTCCACCTACTGTATAGGCAGCATATGTTTGTGTGCATCTGTGTTTTCTTTGCCTGCAGCGAGTGATAACCATTCACACCAAAGATAAAAGAATAATTCACCAGTATAATTCAATTCATACAAAACATGCAAAAAAAATGGCAGTTGACTAGTGCAAAACCGCCTGGGATGTGGTTAATCAAATCCTATGCGGAGTAATATTACTACAAATATAAATGTGATACTGTATTTATTCGATCACTTAGATCATGAAAAAGGTTGACATTGACAGTGTGAACATGTTGCAATCACATAAAATCAAAGAATTAAAATAAAGAACCGTTCGACGTCTTCAAAAACGGCTGTATAGACAAAAAATGACCAATATGAGGCAATGGAGTGTCCTTTCTGTATTCATATGCAGTGAAGTTCCATATATAGTAGCCTAGTAGAATCGTTTCCTTCTTCAAATGTTCCTTCACAAACACCACAGTAAAAATGAATGATCTAGGAATTAAATAATGGATAATGATGAATACAAAGGAAACAGGATGATAATCTTGACATCAGCCTAATAGGATGCACATATTCAGATTGAGTATACAGTATATCTCTCTTTACCGTCTCAATGACTGTGCCATACTGTGTGCATAGTGGGTATGGACCTTCATGGATAGCCAACATAGGTGGAAATGAATCCACAGTAAGAAGTGACTGTAAAAGTGAATAAATATTAAATAATGAGAAGTAAATACCAATGGTGCTAAAGTGCCATGAGATAAGTTAATGTGAATTACCATGAGGAAGTTCAGAAAAAATTCTCTTCACTGTAGCTGTGAAAAAAACATTGGTGTATTGGTAAAGGAGTATCAGTCCAGAGTGGTTAATATGGATATTTAAATAAAGGGCATTCAAACATCAATGGTTTCTTTAATGAAAGCCCCTCTAGGTGATCCCAAAATGACTCTTTTTTTTTGCAGAGTTGGTGCGGTTCCTATAAGAATGCGTGCGACAAATGTCCCATATCGCTAGTTGTGTAAGGTATATAGTATATACCTAGTAAGCCCACAAATTCCCCTCAGTCTGGGGCTTCAAGCAAACATATAGATATATAGGGTATAACTCCCGTTTGTAAATAATTGCAGTCTAGAGTGACTCAGCTTAACACACTATTACTTGCCACCGGTGGAAGTGAGTACAGCCACTTGAATCACCAACAAATCTCCTCAGAGTGGTTGCCTTGTTATTTTCTATATAGCTTCATGCTTATCCAAGATGGAGCTACAACGCTTGCTTCTTTCTCCTCGTGGATACCGCAGCCTATGAAGACGCTGAGCGTGATGATGTAATTACGTTGATGCATTTCGTCCGCCAATCATCGCAGACTTCGTCAGAACAGAATTCTTTGATTTTATGTGATTGCAACATGTTCACTCTGTCAACGTCAACCTTTTTCATGATCTAAGAAGTGATCGAATAAATACAATATTGCACTTACATTTGTAGTAATATTACTCCGCATAAGATTTGATAAACCACTTCCCAGGCAGTTTTGCACTAGTCAACTGCCAATTGTTTGCGTGTTCTAGTATTTTTAGGTTTATAATCCACACTTTTATACAAGTGAGTTGGAGATACTATTAAGATACGATTATTGTACCAGTTTGGATGGCACTTTTTCTTTTCTGACATAATTCAATTCATAACCTGCCTTACAAATAGTAAATATTAAATTCTTAATATGAATGCTAATTACCAGCAGCTTTTGTAATGTATTTTTTTTGTTTTTTTGCTTTAAATGCTTTGATTAAATTGAACGTTGTAAAATGTATTAAGTGGGAAGCTTTTGTTATAATTTAATATATGGTCCTCATTTTCTTGTCACTTATTTTCCCCTTTCTAGGCCGTGGAACCCCCAACTTGAAGGAGAAGGTGGAGGATGTGAAAATTATTTTGCACATGTGGTTAGCTCTCTTTTATAGTAAACCAAGCCAGCAGCTGACCAGCAGCTCTCGGAAAAGTTGTAGAACATAGTAACCCAGCAAAATACGTCTCCATCAACACTGTGCATGACCCTCTTTGTGAGATTGCAGAGACTGATGCTGCTGATGCAGAGAATAGCGATGAAAGTAACCTGAGGAATTCCCCCCATATTCAGCCCCAAATCATGTCAAGTGTTTCCCCAGTGTGGCATGAAATGAAGGAAAATCACAGTAGCAATCAACCTGTGGATTTAAGCGTTGCTTCCAGAATACAGACAAAGGTAAGGATTTATTACCTTCAAATATGCATTAAATGATATGCATGCATTTCTATTTCTGGCTTGTTAACTCTGCTTATCAGTCTAGAAAAAGTCTTTGTTGAATTATTTAAAACTGGATTCAAGTACTTTTATTATATTTTACAGTTTGAGGTCTAGGTAAGGGCTGAGTGTTTGCAGTGTTTAATATCAAAAGCCATGGCACATATTTATCAGTGTATGGAAATCTGTCGCTGTGTGTGAGCAGGGCAAAACCTATCTAGTCTTCCACAAAGGTGTAGGGGAAGGCAGCACAGATCTGTAACATTTTCAGACCGGTCTAGACTGAACTACAATGTATGTTTATGGGTGGGCGAATGCAAATGGACGTACATCCATTTACAACCACTTAAATCTGATCCTGTTTATGTCTGTGGTAAACAGAGAAGGTTTGTGTCCTTCTTCTTTTTTTTTTTTTTTTTTTTTTTTTACTTTTGTTTTTGTTCATACTTTTGTCCATCTAACTTTTTTTCTTCAATAACAAAAAAATGGACAGGTGAATAATGGATATGCACTCATATGATCTATACTCAACTGAAAATGGATGTACACGTATATGTTAAAGGATTCAGCTTTCATACATTTTTCAAAGACAGAACAGATGATGACCTTGTGGAAGGTCCTTTTTTTTTTTTTTTTTTTTTTTTTCCCCCCTTCACCCTCCCCCGATTTCCAAACAAGACATAATCAAAGAACTACTGTATATAGCAGATAGCTTCCATAAAGGATGATAGAATATACCAGGCCTCACCTGACACTCCTTGCAAAATTGAAATTGTCTTAATGGCAATAAATAGGCAGTGAGAAGAACATATTGTAGCAATATGTGGTTGAAATTGCTATATCCTACTTTGATAAATGTGCACTATGTGCTATTGTGCTGGCTAATGTCATGTGCCTTGGTTGTGTCTTGTGCCTTCGCTCTTAAAGCCTACTTTTAATAAAAACAAGATTTTTTTTAAAAGTAAAAAAAAAAAAAAAAAATTAGGATGGAAGATTTCAACTAAATATGCAGCCAGCATCACAAGGGGCACATCACATTTACTGTGAGTAATGTCCTTGGTTCTGCTGAATTAATTTTTTTATTAAATGCTGCAGTAATCTTCCACTGCCACAGTGGTTAATAGTGCTGACTATGCCCA